CATAAGTTCTCTGTACTTAATAAAATAAAAAAAGAAATAAAAATTTGGTTTTGCCAGCCAAATTAAAATGACTAAAATAAAAATGAAAATATCAAAAAAGATTCAAAATATAGTAAAATCTCCTGCGCTGAGAGAAAAAATATCGAAAAAATAATAAATATTTATTTGATAAGGATGTTAATAACATCCTAAATATTTATTTAAATCTAAATCCTTTATTATTTCAGTTGATTAAACAATTGCTCTCATTTCCCTAAGGTTTTAAGAAAATATTTTCTCATTTGAAAAATATTTTATATTAGAGTAAAAATATTGATATCTATCTTATAAAGTACTTACCGAATAAATATTCACTCTTAGATGTTTCTTTTTCTCTATATATATCCTATGAAAAGTTTAAATATTTTTATTTGAAAACAATAACAATAAAAATGTTCCGAGTTAGATACTATTACACAAAGAGAAAAATATATCAAAAAAATAGTAAAATATTTATTTGATGAGTACCACATGAGTGCAACAGAGAGCATATCTCTATTTATACTAATATAAAATATTTTTCAAATAAGAATATATACGTTTTTTCCAAACCTTAGAAAGTTCTTAACTTTTCACGAGAGTGATTATATATTCTATCTAAATAAAAGAATGTAAATTTAAGTACGCTATTAGTATTTTCATCAAAGAAATATTTACTAATTTTTAGATATTTTTTTCTCTCACACTGTATTAGCGCCAAAGGATTGGTACTTTTACCTTACCGTCGAAAAAATTCTCGTCGTCCTACGATTCTCCGGAACCATTACGCGCGCGAAAGGACCGTCGCTGTTTCTCAGGTTGGTCGCTCGCTCGTCTAGCGCGCGCTATTTCCGCCAGCAATAGGGATAAAGCGGTGTCGAACGAATAAAGATCCCCGAGGGAGGCCCCGCGTAGTGGCCGACAAATAACGTGCGTATTCGATACACGTAGGAACGTTACGGTAATAAAAGAAGGTAATAACTTGGCGCACACTCGCACGTGCACGTGCTCGTATGTGCCTGTGCGGGTCGTCGGCCGCCGCCCGGGCTCGCATTATTGACTCCTCTTCCACGTCAACGTGACCAACTTGTCCTACGTGGATCTAATGCGTCGTGATCCATGTGGATATCACCGGGAGCGGATAGAAATAAGCGGCCGCGGCGCGATTTAATATCGCAGCGCTTTATCCAGGCGCGCGCGCGCTTACGCGGGAGAGCCTCCCGGGGCAGTTTTATCGTAACGACGATGCATCACGAGTACATGTAGCGGGATGGAAAGTGCGGGGTCGTTAATTTAACCAGCCAATTGTATTCGTACGTAAATCCGCTTTGCACGAAGATAATAGATTGGTGGTATAACTGGCCAAGGATTCCGCGCGGCGCTGCGCGTAAATAACGCACGCGTATGCGCGCGCGTACGTCGAAAATGATTTAACCAGAGTCGCGATGATTTCGGCAGGGTTCGACGTGTTAATGGCTCCGTTGAATCGCGCAGGGGGTTGAATCGAGATTATATCTGACGTCGGGGCGCGCCCGATTCCCTCGTCTCCGGTCGATCGTGCATTGTCTTTCACAATACGCGAGTCCGATCATCTCTCGCGGTGTTAGCTGTCGGCCGCACGCTGTTAGGCGACCCGTCAATGTTTAAAAGATCTCTGCGCTTTCGAGGAAGGGGGTTAAGGGTCATTGTAGGTTCACGCGTGAAGGCGTGACTCGCGTATTCCGGTTATACAACGGACACGGCGATCACGCAGCCGCACTCGATGCAGCGGGACGTACATTCATCCGTTCTCGGTTACCAAGCCGTCACGACGCGCCGGGATAATGTTCGGATTCGTATTCCCACGTGGTTGCCGGATCATGCAGATCCGTCCTGCCATTATCGGCAAATCCCTCTATCGAGAGTGTGATAGCCGACTTTTGCGCGATGCGAGTGAAACCGCGCGACGGGGCGCACAATGCATTTACGGGCGCTTTTCGCACATCTTGCCACGGCTGGCGCAAGCTATAGAGCCGTGAGAGTCAATCGAGCGAACTTAAAGTACAGAAAAGGAATAGTTGTCGCTGGCCATAGGGTCGGCTCGTGCTTCTAGCGTCTCTAATGGCACGGAAGGACGTTATAACGAAAGAAGAATTCCGCGCGAGTTCAAAGATCTCAGCGAAGAGAGATTTAGGAGACTTTAGCTCCACGTGACTGGAATGCGGCGCGCGCGGCCGTGCAATTTTCTTTTTTCACAAAATATCGGCTGAGGTACGCGCGCAGGGGATCATTGACGTGAAAAAATGGTCTCGATAGTTGAGAGGAGTGATTATGTAGATAGCACTTGCCGCGGTGAACGACAAGACGCAGACAGAAACACCCTTGCGAGATAATAACACAAAATTCAGAATTTCTATCCCTGCTCGTCCGTTGTGCCCGCCGAGATTCCAGAGCAATGGCGAAATAAGGGCTATTTCAATTGCGGCGCGCTCAAACCGCTGGCAATTACCGTTAAAATTACACGATACTTACCGGGGCAACGAAATTCTGCATTGCGGCGAGCTCCATTATTTCCAGGCGTCGCCGACTATAGGGTGAGAGTGTTGGTAAGCGTTCATTGTGAACTGAACATAATGCCGGCGACTCTTCAAAACCACCTGCGCGCGGCGCGCCGTGGTGAATTTGCTCAGGTGTGTATCGACTGCGGTACATACGTGCGTGTGTTCGCACATACCGTGAAAAGAATAGCGCGCAACTGTTTATCTCGCTGTGTCTATTTCGACGTTGTCACTTGTGGTACCACATCGATACAAAGAAATAAAGCATTTGCTTTAAAGAATTGCTCAAGTCGATGACGAGAACTCGAACAATGTCAATAACGCAGAGACGATCGTTACTAACACCATCACACTATCCTTTTCATATTTCTTGTATATATAGATTTTACGTAAATGTATGTTGCTTTGTTTTACCATATTCAGTGGGTAACGTAAGCACATATGTATAGAAATCTTTTTCTGCAAATATTTTCGATATTCTTAAGCTTGTAAATTCAAATGCGAAAATATAGTAATGTTCTTCAAAATTTCTCTGTTTCCATTTTCGATATGTACAAGCTGCAGAACTTTTGGATTAGGCAAATATTACACTAACTAATTAACTAATTAATAGCTTGAGATTTTACATTACAAAATTTTTTTTCGTTGTCATATATTGAGCCATGCTATTTATATTTATTTATATTTATTTATATTTATTTTTGCATGTGTTTTTATTGCGTAAAAGTATTTGTAATTCTGTACAATACGACATAAACTTAAAAAAAAAATGTGAGTACTCTATCGATAAAGTTTAGAGATAACACGATCATGCTATACTTTTCATATTTCATGCATAAATGTGTTATGCAATCTTACATAAATGTTTGTTGCTTTATTTTATCATTTCACGGAAAACCAAACTGCGCGTATACATACACAGAAATCTTTCCGCAAACTTCTCCGACATTTTTAAGCTTCTAACTTTAAATGTAGAAGTACAGCAATATTCTTGAAAATTTATCTAAGCGAAGCAAACTCACGTTCAATATATAAACTACAAGAGTCTTTTGTAACAAGAGAATATTTGTTTTAATTTATATAACATATGATACGCGAATTTAAACTCAAAATGTCAACTTTGAAATTTTTTACCATTATTTTATCGTTATATTTTATCGTTTTTATTATATATGGAGCAATACTTTAATTCATTCCAGTGTGTATTTTTATTATATAAGAGCATTTATAATTCTCTCTGTGCAGCTAGTGCAATGTAAACTTTGTAAAAAAAGACCAATATTCTGTCGGTAAAGATTTCGAGCATTCCCTCAAATAAAATAATGAATTTAACGATAATGGAGTTACCAGATTTCCGAAGCTTAAATCCAGGACACTTTATAAATGTGTATGGAGTGAGGGAAAATTACTAAAAATCACATATATGTATACGCACACACATATATGAAACAATATTTTAATTATAGATATATGGAAAATAACTAAATAAAAATCTGTAGTAAAAATAAAAACTGTTGCTAAGATGAATGTTGTTTTATCCTCATTTCAAATTAAAAAGAAGAAGCAAAGATGCAATATTTGCCAGAGATATAAATTTTTTTGAAAACGTCTCTTTTATCTCTTTTTTGTTAACAAAATTTTTTAAATCTTCAAAGCCAGAATAAATCGGGACAATTTAGCCGAATTCGGGAAAAATCGGCGTCCCGGATAAAAAATCCGCGATATAAGGTGAAATATTGGAACTGTCCCAGGAGAAATGATACAGTCACCTCAACGACTCATAATCACCTAATCGACTCGAGTAACTCGCAAACCGGAATATTATCGTGGACAATACAGAATTGAATCCGATTAACAATGTTGAACGGTAATTCTCCCCGGTGAACGATCTTTTCACGGCATGTATTCGTAATGTACGGCACATTATCACGGTCTATCATCGCGATTACCGCGACGGCAAACACAAATTACGAGCGCACGCACTTAATGAAAATTATGGCCGCGCTATCATGTTCCGGCTGAAGTTTGTCGACCTATTCTTGCCGCGTTCGTGGGAGGAAGGGCGATCTGTAAATTTGCCGTAGCCTGGTCGACGAGACCGCAATTTTGGCCGAGCGACCATAATTAAACGAGGGAAAACTGGATAATTGATTAGGTATAGGTAGCTTAGGATCGCGCCAATATTGGCAATGACCGGATACTGGTGCATAAATCAAACGTATGTATACCGGGTATATGTATATAAACATACATTTTATTATGATAATTTATAATTGCTGTATTCACAATGAGTATGAGTAATAATAACGTATTGTAATTAGATATACAAACTGGTCTATTGGATAGTAACCTAGACTAATCAATCGCGGCTAATTATGCACGGCCCACATACAATTTTCGAAACGGAATTTCCGTACCTGTGTGACGTGAATTCTTTTTTTTTTCCAATTTTGTACCCCCTTTTTAACGTTTTTCGTTCTCGCGTTCGAACAAATCGACACAACGCTAAACTCTCGTCGAAACGCTCTCTACAGTCAGTCTCGTACGCACGATGATAATGCTAATCAGCGCCACTGGACTTGTCGTCGATCGACCCAAACAGCCTTTTGAGAAAAATATCGCCACGTATGGCAGGAACGAAATCGATCGTAATTGAATCCCACAGTCGCTGGAGTTTATTCTCATGAAAAATACGTGGTTCAATTCCTGCAGCTATGCGAATCGGAAATCATACTCAGGAAGTGACACCTGTCCAATCATTTTCCACGTTCGGCCATTACGTAATATCACAAAATTGTCTTCACTAATATAGCAGAATAGACGTTATCTGTCACGAATAATGTAATTCGTCATATGCGCAGCTATACGCTATACCTCGAGGAATTTATAATGAAATGTGGGTGGTGCTAGATGTTGTTCATTTTTCCGTTAAAACTGGGGCGAGGGGAGGACGTCTAAGGCTTAAATGTACGAAAAATAGAATGCCAGCTCACTTCCGTATATTATATTAAACGCGTTAGCTTCCATTATTTTGTATCTTACCTTAATTAATGAGCAACTCCTACGATCTCCTATTTTAATAGCTTCATCCGAATGGTTCCGAGGAGAAGCTTGATTTTTCCGCTCTTACAAACGATGGTAATGTGCCTGCACGAAATTTGCGCGATTCTGATTAACGTTGAGCGCGAAATTCAACGTATAATTTCGTTATGTACACAAGCTTTATTAACAAAATTAAATTAAAACACTTTTTCGATTCAAACAATTGTCGGATAATTATTCAGTTTAGAAGAGTCAGCTCCAATGATCTCTTAATCTTGATATATGTCGTTGAGATTATTTTACTGAATAACCTTCACAAAAGGTTTTAGCCGTCACTTATTTATTGAAAAAATTATAAACAAAAGAAGTTTCATAAGCAGTATGTAGTAATAGTCATAAACAGATGTAGTTTTTCGATACTTTGTATACATTAAAAAATAGGTAGTGTTGCGAGTTTATGAAAAGTCGATGCGTGCATATAAAACAATACGCATAAATGCGTGAAGAAGGGGCGGAGCCATGTAGTTTTTATATACTCATTGATTTTATGTATCCATTGTAATACAACATAATGAACGGAAATAAAGAATACTCTGTACAATCGGTCCTAAACACAACACGACTACATAGTACTAAAGATTACTGTTTATATACACCTACAATCCTATCTAATATCAGAACGTTCGCGTGTAAATAAAAACTGAGGGTACTGTGATTAATATTTACATACTGCAATTCTACGTATACGGTGTCAAAAAAAGCTATGTTTTATTTATATGACTACGTTTATCAATAATTTTTTTTAATAAACGATGAGCGACGGTTAAAACTTACAGTAAGTTTCTTAGAATCATGAGTTCAACAACAATATATCAAGATCAAGCCCATTAGAGCTGACTTCCTTAGACTGAGTAACTATCTTAGATTGAGCTAATGTAAAATTACATACAGGATATCTGATGCAAGGTGCATCACGTGTATAAGTAGAATAAGTCAAACTGAACAAAAGATTTCTCTGTCATTTTCCAAACAAATGTAAAATTTAGAGATATTAATGAAAAAATGACAAACCAATGCGTGCAATGTCGTGGAATGAACCTTATCTTATCGAAAATAGCTGAGGCGTCTCTTAGCAACATACGTACGATATGCTGGCGATATATTGAAAAACAATAATTTCCCGCATCGCTCGCGTCATTATTCCACTTTCAGATGTCAGCTGAGATAGCCACTGCTGCTAGTATTTTTTTTTCATAAATATCTCGAAATTTTACGTGATTGTGTGAGAGAAATTTTTGTTCAGTTTGACCTAATCTATTTATACAGGTGCATTGATACACCTTGCGTCAGAAACGCCCTATAATATGACTTTTATATATTAGGATACACGAAAAAATACATATTACTAAAAATATAAATATCTTGAACACAATCGATATATCGCAAGTAAATAAAACTAAAGAGGTATTTTGTTCAATGATAGACACTTTATTCAATGTTTATCACATTGGAACGAATTGTCGAAGTAAAAATGTTCGAGCTGCGAACGCCAAGCAGGAGAGTCACACAAAAGAAAGATACTGCAACCGAAAATGTAACCTCATACATATGGATGCATTGCCATTTCCATACGCCATTATAGTCTAGCGTCTCTCATTCGCGTTTCGTTGCATTTCTCCCATTATCCGCGGTATTTCGCGAAAAGTGCCACACGGCCATTGCAATCGCACATGGCCAAAATTTATTTATTCGAGTTTGTTATAACGTTATCATACGACAGTGATTTATAGTAGAGAAGTTTAATAAGCATCGCCAAACTTTCGATGTAACATTTCTGTATACAAGTATGTACATTGGTCTTCTGTTAAGTTTTGACAAGGTTTCGCGCGTACTCGTAAAGCAACGTTCGGATAATATAGGAGAGAAGAAAAAAAGATAAATAAGAAAAAGGAGAGGGAGAGAACTTTCTTCTCTCTCTCTAGATATGCGTCACGTCAACACTCTGACAGAACTGTATCTCATTTATCATGTCGGACAGTTACTAATCGTGAAAGGATCTCTCGTCTTTTCGTTCGCCTGTCAGAAACATCTGCGGTGATATTTTATTCAACTTTAATAATCCCCCCGGCACAGTTTTATTATTACGCTCGATCTATTGCCGTGTAATTTCGACGCCAATTTTCAGTTTAATTACAAGGATGAAAAAATCTGCAGTGGTATAATTAAAATACCGATCGTGCGGCTGCAAGTTTTTATGCGCGAAGTGGCCGAGCATTATACATAGCTAGCGCGAACTTTATAATGAAAATTTGTAAGTATCGAAAGAACTTTCGCGAAGTCTTCTTTACGACATACCCGCAGCGAAACGTTGCCATACCAAGCTCATCGAAGAATGTGTTTCTTTGGTATTGTTACTCTCTTTCCTTCCTTCGTTTTTTTCTGTTTCTTCTTTTTCTCTTTTTTTAATTTTTCATACAAAAGCCATACCAAACGCCGCGGATCAGCGGTACACTCATTATCCTAGTATTGGCACCGTATATTTACGTGCGTAAAATTGCGTGTCCACGAGAGAGGCACACAAAGAACGATCCGAGAAATAGTATTAAAAGTATGTACAGTACTCGTTTTATATGCACTCCGCACTACGATCATTGTCGTGGCAAAAAAAAAATAAAGTTCGGCGCCATGATTTTGTTTTTCTTTTTCGCGCGCGCAGCTCCCATTGTCGGCGTTAAGCGGCAGGAAAAATATAATGTACATCTCGATGAATGTGCCATGTTTGTCGACATCTCGATGAATGTGCTATGTTTGTTGACAATACATATCGAATGCTCTCAAGCAGACGCTTTGACAAGGAGATCGGTTTATTCTCTTTTAGCGCGAATGATATATCCATATCTATCCGTGTTAAATATTCCTCTGGAAAGTATAGTTCCGCTAATATGCACCCTCATCCCCTCTCCCGTTCCATCCTTCACACCCCATTCCGTCACCGTTCCATCTTTCACAGCCCCGTCCCGCGCCGAAACTTCTTTGTCAAAATATTTCCCGAGGAAAAGGTCCTCGATCTCTGTTGCGACGCGTTGTTTGATAAAAGACTGGATATTTTCTAATATTACGTGTACAATGGCAGCGCCGTGTTCGCGTCGCTTCTGTCGGGACAGACATCGTAAAAACGTTGAAAGCACACACGAGATACAGCGAATATTTATAGAAACACGTCATGTACTATATGTGACTATATTACCAATTACGATTATATCACGTTTCGAAACTATAGATAGACGTGCGCCGGAACGTAGTTCGCAGCTCGGCATCTCGTACCTTTCTTTCCGTCGTTGCGTTTGATCGACGCGCGAGGAACGGCTCTCTCGCGTGGTCGTCCCGTCGCACATGCTTAACCGCTCGAATCTCCCTTGGTCCTCTCTCGTTGAAGTGTGATCCTTACCCGACGAATTCAAAAGTGGCAAAATAATTTCGTGTGTAATTCAATTCTGGCATACGATTTTCACCCGTCGCGCGCATCGCTGCTCGTCCTGGTGTGAGTGAATCCATGCTGGATTCGATAATGCGTTCACGCCGAATCCACCTTCGCGATCCATAGTCTCAGAACTACTTGCGCGGCAGTCAATTATTTTCGCTTTTTCCACGATTTTGTCTCCGGAAGAGATCGTAACTCGCGCACGTCGCAATGCAAGGACACACACACCAATGATACCAACGGTATCTCCACTTAGATATCGTAAATGACCCGCGAACAGGTCAGGGCGAGCTTGCACGACTCGATAGCATACAAACATGGCATACGAAAAATATTCAGGCATTCCACTATAGTAGAACTGTCTCTCTTCTTCCCTCTCTCTTTCTCTCTCTCTCTCTCTCATACATACATATACTCAACATACACATACATTCTTTCTCTCCCTTTCTTCGTCACTGACGATCGCTTCGTCACGGACGAAGCTCTGCGGAGCATTCCTCCTCTTCATCTCACACGGCCCGTGGTTGTCAGTTGGCGAACGAGCAGGAGGTAGACCCGTTCCCCGATTTGCTCGGACTAAAGTGTCTCCAGTAGATTCTGCACGAGTAGGGCGGGCGCAGTTACGCGCGCCTTACCTTTTCTCGGCTGTCTGCAAGCGCGCACGTTGCAACGCGGCGCCCGTTGCAGCTGCTCCGACTTGTTGCTGTCTTGTTCGAGCTGCACCGATACACTGGCTACGCGGGGCCTCGAACATCCATTCTCCTGCAACAGAGAATTGGCCGATGCTCGAGCGGAATGCTGCGCGACCCCCGTGATTTGTCGGATTATGCACATTGCACACCGGGCGTTACATACTGGGGCGCGCTATACGCGGCTCTGTGCGACTTATCCCGCGAATTATCTCGTGAATGCGGGAAACGCGAGTTTACGTCTCTCTCGACATGAAGAAAGCAAATACTGATTATAACGCAACGTCGATGATAGAATCCCGTAGTGTGCAGTCGCAAAAGTTAAATAGTTAATGGCGACGAACAAGCGCGTTAATTAATTAGTGCCATCGTCTTTGAATCGCGATGTGATGGTATTAAAACAGCGAATATCAGTTTGAACGGCGGGAGCCTCGAGTTTCTATCAAATGCAGTTTCAGAATTATGAAACTTCAGCGCGGAGTTTACTTGCTGGCGCACGTCATGTTTTCCGCCGTGACTGATGTTGCTTGCTTGCGCGCGTAACACGTAATATATAGACGCCCATGACAATATCTGTTTGCAGTTCTGCTTTTTGACATGAATGAAAATTGGCATGTGACTAAACGAATATTACATATAATGTTTACGTACAGGATTTGCGACGTTAACGGGGAGACTGTTGATGCCTCGACATTTCCTCTTTCGCGGAGGAAAAATTAATTAATAATAAAATTAATTAATAAATCTGAACTCTTCAGAGAGAGCTATTTTGGCCAAAATTAAGGTCGCGAGTTCTGGATCAGTATAGAAAAATGTACGCGTGAGCACTACGATTAAAGCGCTTCAAGTGTAAAATCAGAATGAAGAAACTTGCGGCAATTCCACGCCATGCCATATTATGATAATTGGGAGTGATCGAATTTAATTATTTGTGCATTTCTTTACGCGCGTATCTTTTAAATGTAGAAAAGTAGGCTGCATTTTTCCACTCGCGTGATTTTACAAAGATACGCGACTATCTACAAAGTTGGCTCATGAATGTTCCAACAAAAGGCTACCCCTTGCGATTATTATCAGCGTGCACGTGATAATTATAAAAGTGACTTAATCCGAGTAAAATGGTAGGAGGACAATGTGTGCTCAAGTGCACAAGTTTTTACGACTTAAATCTTTAATGAGTGGAACGAGTCGTGCCCGAACCAACTAAGTTGCCACGAGAACGAGACCGGAATGAAAAATGAGAGACGCGCGCGCGCGAAGGGAGATTTATACATATAGTGTCCCAGACTCTTCTCCGCAATTTTTATAAGAACATAGAACGGATTGAGGTGAACATAAAAATTCCTCATCGTTTTGCGATATTCGCAATAACAGTCGAGATATTAATTAAAAAAGATTAGTAAATAATCACGCGCGAAATGAGCTGCAGTGACGATGTGTGCTGTTGTGTGCTTGTATATTAAGTCAAATTGAACAAAAAAATCCTTTATCATTTTACAAATAACCACGTAGATTTTTAGCTATAAATGAAAGAAAATTGTTACACGATTGTGTACGCTAATGCACAAATCTTTTTTAATTAATATCTAAAAATCTATGTGATTTAAAAACACAATGGTAAGACTTTTTTATTCAGTTTCATCTAATGAATAAATACACAACGGCAGACGGCGCCATTACAGCTCATCTACCATATCGCGCGTGATCATTCACTCTAATCTTCTTTAATTAATTTCGAGATTTACTGCAGAACAGGGACTTTTATGTTCACCTCAATCTGTTCTACGTTCCTACAAAAATTGCAGATAGAAGTCTGGGTAACCCTGTATATATGTGTATTCAATTCAATTATGGTGATACGACGTAACCAAAGAATCTTAATCAATCTCGCGAGCAAATTTAAGGAAACAATAAAGGCTGTTTTGATCGCGTATCATATCGTATCAGTAATAACTTTTGAGATCTTCTACGCTGATAAGTACGAATAAATTGCTGTAAGGAGCCAGCGGATTGCAGCGGCAGAAATGGTAAACCAAATCCGTTAAATTTCGCAACTGTACACGCGACTTCGTGCTCTGTGCTCGTGAATTGTCCAAAATTACTAACCGATATACAGAGATTCCGCTGATGCTGATGAGCTCGTTGACGAGACTCGCTTTGTAGCTCCCACGCACGAATATACAGATCGCCACGATAGATGAAGCCTCCTCGTTTCGCTCGCAACATCAAATGCCATCTGAAACAGAGAAAAAAATAAAATGTCGCATTGTTTGCGCGTCGTGATCGATTGGTTTTCACTTCGTGCCGTTTCCATCGCGCGTATAAATGCACGCTACGAGAAGCAACAAATTCTTATGGAAATATTTCCATAACGATCAAGAAACGTCTCCCTCTTTCTCTCCTTCTCTCTTTCTCTCTCATTATTTTTCTATTGCGTTGTACTTATGCATTCTATGCATTCTCCTTTTATATGTTTTGTGTATTTTTCTTTTGCCTTTTGAATGCGTTTCCGATTTTCTTTATAATTGAATATGCTATTGTCTATGAAATAATTATTTATCATAATAGTAATATTTATTTTCCTTCAGGAAATAACTGCTTTTGTTACGAAATAATTACTTTTATTGTAAAATCTTATATGCTTTTGATATATCTACTATTTTAAATGTTTAATAACGTGCGGATTCAGGAATCTCAACATATTACAAAATACTGTAACTCTAGGGAGTGTAAACCCCCAAGGTGTTTAATAAACTTATTCTCTCTCTATTCTCTCTCTCTCTCTCTCTCTCTCTCTCTCTCTCTCTCTCTCTCTCTCTCTCGACGATTCGCCTCTCGCGCGAATTGCAGAAACAACTCGGATAACTGTTGGAGAAAAAAATAGAGACGCGTTAAAGTCGCGCGTTAAAATTCTCCGACGCTGGTGTATTTCGTTTCCGCGGCTATGAAGCAGCGCGGAGAGCGTCATCGTTCAACATCCGCTCGCACCCTCCGTAAAATAAATTCGTAAGTGACATATCCTTTTTACGCGTCACTTGCTTACTCGTCGAGTTCGTTCCTGATCTACCTGCTCTCCCGCGTTCTCGGGCGCCGTGTTTATGAGCCGTAAAAGAGGAAAAACAGGGGAAGTTGGTAGACGAGAGTGATACAAAGGTGCGCGACCCTATATCCATCGATATATATTTGATTTGTGAGGAGTATCTTATAGGCGCGCGCTCGGCGCTTTCTCGCTATAAAATATCCACATAAAATCACATTCGCTACATTACCACCTTATCGTTCAATCCGGTTTGTAATCGTTCATTGAAAGAACCGCTTGTGCACATCAGTCAATCGCGTTCGTTATGTTCATATTAAAGTAAAAGTATCAATGTCTGCACAGAAAATATACAGAGTGTCTAGTAACTCACAGAGGAGCTATGGTATATAGGTACGTTACGTCAAACTGAGTCAAAAATTCCTCTACTATTCTGCGAATAAGTATGCAAAATTTTGAGTTATTTAGCAAAGAAGATTCATGAATGATTACGCGCTATATGGTAGATACTCTGTGTTGGCGACATCTGCCGTTGATTGCTTGTATATCAGGTCAAACTGAACAAAACAGTCTTTCTATCATTTTCCAAATGATCGCGTACATATTTAGTTATTAATTAAAGAAGATTAGTGTACAGTTATGCACAATAATGCATCAATCTTCTTTAATTAATAACTAGATATCTATGTGACCATTTGAAAAATAGTAGGATTTTTTTGTTCAATTTGACTTAATATACAGGCATACAGTAGTAAACGTTGCCATCACAGCTCATCTATCGTATGACACGTGATCATTTACGAATCTTCTTTAATCAATAACTCAAAATTTTACGTGGTTGTTCGCAAAATAGAGGAATCTTTTGTTCTGTTTGACCTAATTTATCTGTACATCGCGAGTTACCTTCTCCGTGAGTTACCGGACACTCTATATACTGCATTCAAATAAATATTAGTTGCTTCAAGTAGTTCATAAGTTTATATATTTGCAAGTCTATCATAAATTTATTATAAGCATCAAATTTATTCAAAACACATTCTGAATCCTAACAAATTCAGCGTTGCAATCTAAAATGTTGAAAAACATTAAATGAAAACAGAAATTTGTTTTACATCGACAGTCAAGATGATTTTGATTTTTCTTCGACCACTTCTCGGCCTTCTTTGAATGCTTTGTATCACTCATATGCTCGTGTTTTCGATAAAGCTGACTCACCGTAGGCCTTTCTTAACATTTTCAACGATTCAGCACAAGAAATTTCGTTGGCAACACAAAATTTGAGGCAAACTCTTTGTTCGATATTTTTATCCATTTTAAAAATCGCAGAGTACACTTGAGATCGACTAACAAAACCAATAGCTGTAAACAAACTGGTCGACAGATAACATCAAAACTTTACGTCACAATTAGGTACATTGGTATCAACTTACAGCAAAAAATTTGTTGTCATACCTTTTACGCGGGCTTCTGAAATAAATAATTCCCGGTATTTATTTGACAGAATGTATATATGCTGTTGCACATTATACGCATTTTCAGTTTTGTTTAATTTTATTTAAGACTTATATTTTATGTTTTATTAAATATAATTATATAATTTTATGTTTTAGATTAAACGTTTTAGATTAAACGATTCGTATTATTCTTATTATTCGTATTATTCGTATTATTCATATTTATGCCGTTACGCATTATGTGCATTTTCAGTTAAATTTTCAGTTTAGTTTAATTTTATTTTATATGTCGTGTTTAATGTTAAATGTAATTACATAATTTTATGTTTTAGATTGAATACTATTCGTACTACCTGTTTATGCAAAGAATAAAATAAGTTTTAAACTGCCATCACTTTATTTTGATACGTGGCATATTACTTATATGGTTGGGTAATACGCCACTTAGCAACATTTCCGTATTTCTCCGTTTTCAATAAACAATAAAAATATTCCAAATCATATGTGAGTTAAAGATAAAAGATGGAAGAAGATTATATATAAATAAAAATACTTCAAAGAAAAACATATATAAGAAAAATATTACATTTTTTTAAGTATAGCATATTCCCCTCAATTACTCTACATATATTCTGTGTTGAAAGTTTAAATACTGGTATTTAAAGACCAAAGTGATAGTAACGTCCAGAATTAGGTCTAAGTATTCGTACTTTTACTTTCCTATGTTGATACGAAGCATTGATCCGAAACATATTTGAAGAAGCGTATCGATGAAATACCGTAATCTTATCTGCAATAACTTCTTCGCGTATTATTTCGCGTAATATCGAAAAGGAATGTACACCTTCGATTTTGCACGTGGAAACTGCATGTCGTAATTATAAGCCGATAGACGACGCTCTAGATCGCGGCCAAATGAATCTTGTAGTGTCAAAGTGAACGTTGTATTGTCCCGGCCGCACATTCAGTCAGCCGAATAATCCTGATCGTTATCAAGGCCGTAACATTTACGCGGACGCAGTTAGAGCAGATTCGAGGCATTGACAATACCGGCGTTTTCGTGCCGGTTAATCGAACGCGTGCCTATGTATATCGAATAGCTTCACCCCTCATCCACTATCAATGCCGATATCGATTCGCGCCAGCGACAACGTTGACGTTCGGCCGGTCCGAACCGACTGTAATCGCGACGTGACTTAGCAATCTCACGTGTCTCCGAGCACATCGGGTTAGCTCGAAATCGCGCGCGATCGATGGCTCATCCTGCCGTGAGGCAGCGACATGCAGTCGCTGTGGCACGACTGTTACGGTCTAAATAATATCAAAATAAAAACGACAGTCGAAGCGGATCTCGTCAATTGTTGAAAAATTCAAGAAGCGTATATATCGACATTGTCAAACAAGTTGAAAGAGGCATAAGATAAAAGTAGCAATTCTTGGACATGTACAGAGAAAGGATTACATATATGCCTCACCATTCCTTAGCCAATCGAGAGTTACTAAAAATTTTTGACCTAATTCGACCGCATTCGTTTCTAGATAGTCAAGACTTGTGACTGTTAAATGTTGCCGAAGAAACGGCAACGATGAGTTCTATTAATTAGTCCCATTAATTTATATTTAATATCTAATTACAACACGATATTACTTACAGATTAAATAATAAATAATATCCAGTCACACGTAGAAGTATATTTATTATATTTCTCAAACAGGTTATGCCTGCAATATTCTCTTGTGAGAATATTGCAGTACTTATTTTTAAACTATATCTTTTCAGGAGCTATAAAATAGTGTTTTTATCGTTATCCATGTTTTAAGATTATGTTACCACTAATAATGTCACAATTATGCCCAACACGTGAACAGATAACCGCAATTATAAATGCAAATAAAATATCAAGCTGTCCAAATGTCATAGCTGCTTGACATCGTTGCAGTTTCTTCGAATAAGTTCAATAGTCACAATCCTTGACTACCTAGAAACGAATGTATTGGATAAAAAATGATTAGTAACTTTCGATTAAGACACATATGGCTAGGGAATGACTAGACATAAATGCAATCCTCTGTATCTAATCCTGCATATAGAAAAATGCATATTACATTCAAGTCAATATTACTTGTCTCAAATATTTCATAAGTTTATACATCCGCAAATCTATCAAAACTTTGCTATAAGCCCCATTAAATTTATTCAAAGTATATTCTAAGTTTATTTCTCAATGAGTTTAGCATTTTAATCGAGAATATTAAAGTAAAACAAAAATTTGGTTTACTTCTTACACAGAGTCAAGCCAACTTTTCTTCAATAAGGTTTTATAATATTCTTGTAAAGAGAATAAATTCTTGTTTTGAGCACACTATAATGAACTTTTCTTAAATTTGTGATTAGTATATTTTATGTATATTTTTTAAGACTATTATAAAAAAATATTTATTGTCGAAAATTAATATTTCTTAAAATAACTAAAATAAACTGAATAATTGTTCTTTTAACAATAATTTAATAATAATTGCTCTTTTAACAATGGAATCACATTATTTCGTGTGGATATTCTTATTGTTTTGATCTTCATACAAATACCAATATTTAAACTTTCAACAAAATACACACACGCATATATATATTTTTTTTGTGCAGAAAGAAGCGATAACTTTGCCTAACTCAAATATCCCCACTATTGCAAATAATACCGGAAAATGATACAAAAAAGTGTTATGGTTCCGAACGAAACATAACGT